ATTCCATCCATCCATTCACTATATGGGAATGGCCCATGCATTTTACAACGATAAACAAGTAACCATTCATAAAACACACGCCCGCACTAGTAACTAATCTAGGTGGTTAATCTGATTAACACGCCTAATTAAAACTAGTCAAAGTTGTTTAACCGATTATGTAATTGCGTAATTAATAATTGAAGCTCCCACTAAATTCCGCATCCATCTTAATTAATCCAATTAATTAAGCTGGTAGAACCCAAAATTTGTCAAAATAAATTTTTGCCAGTGCCGCTCAAAACCGAGGCCTAGTCTCACAAATTTTAATTAAAATAAACAAGATTAATTAAAATAAAACGGAAAAATAAGCAAACAATTACGTAGTCCAAATTATCCAATTGCCTAGCACTACGATTTGGAGTGCTCACTTCTCGCATAACCGAGTGATGTTCAACAAACGTGGGAGTGAATCTGTGTTGCTAAGCGTTGCACCGACCACATTAGCGAACTTTCACGCACCATCGTGCCCACAGTGGCTTTGTCGTGCAAGTTCATTGCACCACATTTCTTCGTAAACAATGTCTACGTATATTATCCTTATTTACGTACCATGTAAAGCATACATATGCTAGCTATGCGCACCATTGCAATCCTCGCATCATAGCACACACACGTACCCTTGCCGCACCAAGCAACACAAAACATACACATTGCTCGTGCACCACTGCCGCACCACAGGAGCTATGTGCTGCGCTACGCACGCACACACGCACGCACGCAGCACTGCCGCAGCACGCTTCTGCTTGGCTGGTGCTGGTGCTATGGCTTGGTGCACTAGCCACGCACATGGATGCACGCACGTACAGACTGCATCCTTGGCAGTTACATGCGGGCTGCTATGCAGCCCGGCTAGCCAAGTGATGTTCTTGCCTCGTTTTGCGTTTCATAGCCTCGGATTTCAATCCCAATTTTGCGTGATATATAATTAATTCTATATTAATTTTAGAAATAATTCAATGTGCAAAAAATTGAAAATTTAAACAAGTCTAACTTAAATTTATCAAGGTGCATTCAACCAAAATAATTCCCAAGAACCATTCTTTAATTAAATTGGTATAACTTGGTGCAACAAAATAAATAAGGCAATTTCTCATTATTAATTTAATCAATTTAAATTAATCTTGAGATTTTGACAAAGTAAGAGGGAGTTGGAAAATATGAACTTTACTGTTCAAATGAAAAATCCAACTACTAACATTTGTGAATCCTTGAAATTATATCTTCCAACATGAAGATAACCAAATTTCTATCACAAAGTTTGAAACTTTATGTTTCCAATCAACCAAAAATGATTAAAACAACAAAGTTCAGCATAAAATTCATGGAATTTAGTAGCTTTTAAAGTTTCAATCACTTAACATAATTAAAGATTGAATCTTTAGCACTTTAGAAGCCTCAAAAACAAAAATTTCACACTTAATGCAATTAATTTGTAATTATGTGAAAAATAAAACCAAGTTTTCAAACACAAATTACCACCAAGTAATCGTGCCTAAAGAGGCTTAAAATTGCATATAAAATATGTATTAAACCAATTATATAACCACCATAAATATGCAATTAATTTTCAAGGTTAGAAAGACTTAAATTTTTCGTAAAAACAAAAAACCCCTCGAAAAATGCATTTCTGGTTGTTTTTTGGCTAAAAAACGAGTCCTAAAAGGGTAAAACCATTTCGAAAACGCCTTTTTCACCCAAAATTCACTATATTTGGGTTGAAATCTGGGTTTAGGAGCTGAAGTCAGCTCTAATACAAGGTTAAAATGGATAAAACGAGCTACTAATCTAATTAGCAACTTATAACCAGAAAAATTAAGCCATAAAAATACCTTGAAAAATATTATGATTTTAAAAATAAACAAGAGAGGCTCTGATACCATTGTTGGGGTTTGGTGAGTCCTACACACTGCGGAAAAAAAACTTGAACCAAGGATCACGCTCACAATAAATAATATCACTAATGCATAAAATAAACACCAAAAGGGTAAAATAGGAAATATACCTTTGTCACGTGCTTCGCCCGACCGATTTGGGCTCTTACTTGAAAGCTTAGCCCCGAAAACACGAGAGCCTCCGACGGAGATCCACTCGCAAAAACGACTACCAACTTTTAGGTCCGTTACCTCGAGGTTAGCGAGGTCCGACCAAAACCCGAGTATTATATGAGTTTAAGGGTTTTTGCAAATGCAATGCCCTATTAAACTCATACTCAAGAAAAGAATTCTCAAGCAATGCTTTGGCTATTTATAAGGAAGGATAGCTTGTGAATTCCACTCATCTTTCAATGTGGGACTTTTTCACAAAAAGATCTCACATGGAAAGATTGATGAATTCAACCCTTAGTTAAATAAACCAAGGAACAAGTAACAAGTGTCACATGGTTAGGTGAGGACCACTTTCTCACTTGGTCCCCAGGGCATTTCACATGCATTGTGAACTAAGCATGTGTCACCCAACCTTGACCCCCAAGTTGGGTTCGGTTGGGCCATTTCCTTTTGGCCCGTGTCCATGACCCGTCACCCGGGTCCACGGCCTTCTTGCCATACGTGCCGCCACCGTGGCGCGCTACCACTGTGGCGCGCTGCCACCATGGCGTGCTGCCACGTGGCACGCTGCCAACATGGCACGCTGCTATTCGGCGCGCTTTCCTAGCCTTTCGCGTGGCTAGGATTTTACTTGTTACTTGAAGCATTTTCCCGTCTTGCCAAATCCTCAATTTTGGCTCGACATTTGAGATTCTCCGACGCTCGGTTTCGACGCTCCAAGCTCGAATTTTCGACGTCTAAATATTAATTACTCGGCTGACTGATTAATTTCTTCCGAATTAATTCGTCGAGACAGTTCGTTAATTGCTTGGGTGTGACCCGAAGGGTTCAGTCAAGATTAAGCTGTAATATTAATTATACATTAATATTAATGATCGGAAGCAGCCTCCACCTAGGCATTCCGAACACTTGACCTTACTGAATATATTAGCTTTCTAATAATTCTGAACCCATTATCAGAATAATACACTTGTTCAACCATTCCTTTCAAGAATCACGGTCAATTTTAGCAACTAAAGACAAGCCCTTTAAACCCTTAAATCGCCCTAGAGGACGAGTGTGCTCTCGTGAGGGTTTCCTAAGAGCTTAACCCACAACTCTGGACAAAACCAAAACAAAACAAAAGGAAAAAGAAAAGCAAAAACAACCATGACCAACATAACATGACAAGGTTTAAGAAAACCAATCAAGCACTAAGACGAAAAATGCTCCATTTGGACTCAACGAAGAGTCATGCGCCAAAGAAAACTCACCTTTCTCAATTAAACGAGGGAATACACGTTCCAAGATGCTCATGGTTGAAAGAGACAAACCTAAGATAAGCATAGAGGACTAGTGATTTCATTCTCTGCACTAGTCCCATCCAAGACGGTCCACGTTCTCTCCACTAGCTTTAAATCACCCCCTAGTTAGCTCCTCATGATTCCATGAAGGAACCGGAAAAAGATTCAATTTGTGGAATTAGTGGGTCATCCCAACATCTCAACTATGCATACTCTCTCCATAGGGTTGAAATCTATCTACCTCCACTGGAATTTGACCTCACCCCTCTAAAGTCTAAGGGTCTTAACTAGGGTTGTAACGTAAGGCAAAGGGTTAAGGCGGGGTAAAAATTTGAAAATTTTGGTGATATTTCCTAAGTGAAGCAAAAGGGAGATCAAACCTTAAAAACAAACTCAAGAAGTCACCAAACATCAAACAAAAATACCAATAATGCCATCTCCCCCAAGCTTACTCAACACCAACACTCCATAAAAACAAAAACGAAGTAACGCTCCCCCGAAGCTTGAACGAAGCATTGTCCTCAATGCTTAACTTAGGGAAGAAAATGAAACCTACTAATTATTTTTTTTTTTACTCTTATTTGATGTCCTTGCATATTTTAACTATGGACGGCTTTTTTTGGGATGCATTTGCTTTATTACACAAAAAATATACAATTTACTTTCTTGCTTGGTCCAAAGAGAATAATACTTTCTCATCTTCATTACAACACAAAACAACCTCTCAAACCAAAATGCTTCACAAAACTAAGGGTAAGGGAAACGAAAGGTCATAAGGCTTGTAATGTGGCTCATAATCAAGAAAGGGAATAGGCTCAAAGGGTTAGCAAGAGGAGAAAATGCAAAATAAAAACAAAATATGTAACAAAACAAAAAGAAGATAAAGAAAAATGAGAAAAGGGTGCCCTTTTCCTCCCCTAGAGTTGCTGGGTCACGATCTTAGGAGCTAGAGGAAAACACAAGGATTAAGATATGCATAGTCAAGGATCCTAAATGCCGCTCAACAAGATTGATGAAGGCTTGAACAATATTAGACCTCACAAGGGATGGGAAGTAAGAAAATACCAACTAAAGGGAATCCTATCCACTATAGAGAGCAACACCGTCTTACCATTTTCCCATGAACTAAGGGTTCAAACGTCCTCAATAGTTCTTAACCTTGCTACCTTATCTAAAAAATTTGTCTATCTCAACCACAAGCACTCTCAGTCCGTGTAGGCCATCAACAATTAGGAAGAGAAACATTCTTTGGCACATTATCAAAGTAATCAATTCCAAATGCATGAGCGAATTCCAAAACAAATTCATTTCATCTTGACATAGTCACGCTTGTCACACAAAAGGGAAAGAAAAAAAAAATAAAATAAAGAGAAAGAAATCTAAAAGGTTCACATACGAGGCATAAATTCCAAATAAGTCCCAATCGTTAAACAATTGATCGTTCGATAACAACATCAATGATCCCAGGTTCCATAAAACCAATGCAAACAACCTCGAACCATTCAACTTCTTCCTAAACTAATCCTAAGCTAAGCACTCAAAGAAAAATTAAAAGAGTGAAAACAAGAAAGGTCTCACCGGGAGGTTGGCTTAAAAGAATAAAGGAGAATAAAATAGAGTTCATCAAATGTCACTCAGCTCCAAGCTTCCAAAAAGCAACCTACAAGGCAAGACAAGACACAAAAGAAAACAATAAAAGAGAACAAAGAAAGAAAATAAAAAGAAAAGGAAAGGAGGGGGAGAAAAAGGGTTAGAAATCCTCCGGATTGCCTTCCGAGAAGCGCTTGTTTATGGTCTCTAGCTTGACCCTTCACCTCGTTTAAGGTGGATTAAAGAACATCACCCTCATCAACTTGAGGATTGAATCATAGATTCCCCCAAGCTTGAGAACTAGCACTCCTTGAGGTCTCACATAACCACAAGGGAAAGGAGGGAATGAATCAATAGCCGATGGTGGCTCATCTTTTCTCTTTCTCTTCTTCTTGTTGTTTCTTCTTCTTTTTTCTCTCTTCTTTATTTTCCATCTAAATGGGCGATTAAGCTTAGAATCCTCAATATTAGGAAGGTCAACCTCACCTTCCTCAAAAGAGCCTTCAAACAAAACGGGAACTTCAAGGAAGTCATCATACCTCATTGTCACCTTATCATCACATGGAGGTAAGCTCTCATTAGCCATCACACCATTGACCACATCAACTCTACATATGCTCACCACCATAGGGCTCTTCAAAACAACATTATCAACTAGCCTACAAGGAAAGGGAACTGGGCCTTCAAACTTGTTTGGTTCACTAAAATCAAATGGCTCCTCATTTTGTTCTTGAACCTTCTTCTCAACCACATCTTCTACAACCTTGTCCTCCTTGCTCTCATCCTCCTTGAAAGTTTTGGGTTGATAAGTATGTGAAGGGTTAGTAGATGATTGTAAGGGGATTTTTGTGGTTAAATGGAGAGAATAAATTTTGGCTAATTGGGAATCAACAACTTCATTGTGAGATTTGATCTCTTGGAATTGTTGAGTGATAATTTGACGTTGTTGAAGAATTTGGGTTTTTGTGTGGTTGGGTGGGGATTGTTCTTCATACGCTTGAGGATTTTGGTCATGATGTTGATCTTGAAATTTCCCTATTTGGATGGAAGGGTTGAAAAAAAATTGGGTTGGTAGATTAAAGAGAGGTCTATCATGGGGATAGGAGTTTTCTAGTCTTGGAGGTTGTTGAAGTTGTTGAGATTGAGTTTGGGTTACAAACTCTTTTTCCCTCAAATTCAAAACCTCACCATTCTTGGGATTGAACTCTCTACAATAGGATGCATCATGATTCATCCCACCACAACAAGCACATGAGAAATCAATGATTTGCGACGGTTTTGAACCCAAACCAACACTTGAGTTCAACTTGGAAAGACCTTCATTCAAGAGCTCAATTATGTGCTTAAGTTGGCCGACTTTCTCCAACTCATAAAGATCTCCTTGCTTCCCTTGGGACCTTTTTTGTCCTCCCCAAGAATAGCTAGTAGCCACTTCTTCAATAGTAGCTTCAACTTGGCTTTGAGGGATTTTAATCAATTGGCCACCGGCACCCGCATCTAGATTGGTCCTTGACATTGGCTCCAAGCCATCATAAAAGAGTCTCATGAGAAAATTATGGTTGAATTCATGATGAGGACATGCTCTAATCAAATCCTTAAACCTTTCCCATGCTTCCCCAAGAGTTTCATCCGGTTCTTGCTCAAAAGAAGCTATCTTCCTCCTCATTTTTGCGGTTTGCTCATCAAAAATGAACCTCTTGAGAAAGGCCTTCGCAACTTCCTTCCATGTGGTGAGAGAGTTGGGCTTCAAAAGCTTGAGCCATTACTTTGCTCCTCCGGTGAGAGATTGCCGAAAGAGATGCATACGAATGTAATCTTGGCTCACTTCATTGGTTTGCATCATTGCACACAACTCAATGAATCGGTCCAAATGCTCAATGGGTCTTCACTTGCACCTCCAGAAAATTGCTCAATTTGTACCATCCTAGCATATTGTGTATGGATAGTGAAATTAGTCTCGGTGGTTGGGAGAAGTATTCCACTCATGAGCTCATATATTTCCGGATTTCCAAGCTCCCTAAAAAGAAGGTCATCCTCTTGCCTTGCCATATCTCTTTTTGAATACAACAAAGCTAAGCACACGATTAGCAACGACAAGTAGGATTAAACAAGCAAAATAAAAAACAAAGAAGGCAAATGAAATGACTCTAACAATAGAAAAAATAAATGTTAAACAAGTAGCTTCCCCGGCAACGGCGCCAAAATTTGATCGAAGGTTAGATAGGTCGTTAAACTACTACCCTAATCAAATTAATCATTTATATTCCTAAACTACCCTAATACAAGTATAGGGGCATGTAAAGGGTCGAACCACTAAGGAATTGAAGCTCACTCATTCAACATCAATTTTAACTAATGCAAGAGTAAAATTAAAAGGGGAATGTTTTTGTTGCCTTTTTGATAAAAAGCACTAAGACTACAAACAAGCAAAGACAATGATGATTAAAATCTAAATAGAACGACGCTAGGGGTACGGGGGTGTCAAACATGATTAGAAAGAGGGGAACAATAATGGTTATCATGACGAACATGCCAAAGAACACAAGATTCTACCTAAACAATTCATTGACATGCAATAGGCTAGGCTAATCAATGAAAGAGGTCTATACTAATTAGGATCATTCTCATACATCCTATTAGTTACAATCAAATCAAGATAATAAAGAAGCACAATCCATAAAAATCTACTTTAACAACTCATTCTCATGTAATCGTTAAAATAGAGATGATCTTAGTCTAGTTCAAATCACTTTCATGCATTTAAACTAGAGAACATCAAATAAAGTGCCACAATAATCTCAAGCTATCAAAAATCATGTCTTTCAATCCAACCATCATCATTTATCCAATATCAACACATATTTTCTACCCCCTTCCCCTAGCTAAGAAATTAGCCTAGGGAAGGGAGATTAAGCTTAATAACAATACTAAACATGAATTCAAGAAACACAAAACTAAGCATGATTAAGAACAGTGAAAACAATACCAACTAGTTCACCTAAGAAGATGAATGAAAATAATTAACAATATAGCAAATAAAAAAAGCTAAAAGAAGGGTTTAGAGATTACTAAAGATGAACTTGATTAAAGATGAAAACTTGGAAGAATTGTTTGATTGAAATGAACTTGACCAAAAGTTGAATACAGTAGAAAAACTTGAGCAATAATCTACTTTCTCTTTCTAAAATTATCTAATCTAACCCTAAGAGAGAGAAGCTCTCCTAAAACTCATTAAGAGAATAGAATAATTGATTCCTCCCCTTAATTACCCCAAAAATGGGTATTTATACTAAGCTAAGAAAATAGAAAAATAAAGGAAGGAAAGAAAAGGAAAATAAAAATAAATAAAATAAAATAAAACTAAGAAAGAAAAATAAATAAAAGGAAATAAATAAAAAGAAAACAAAATTAATAAAAAACGAATTTCCCCCCCCCCCCCAAATCAAAACGTGACCCTTAATTTCTTTGAATTTCAGCTGCTCTTACTCTTCATCATCACGCATCACCACCGCACATCACATCATCAATGGCTATCATGGAGCATCATCTTCGATCTTATTAATTATCATTTGCGAAGCTCGTGAAATGGTTCGATCGAACCAAGAGCAGGTTCGACCGAACTACGAGGTTGGCTCGGTAGAACCGTGGGTGTGTTCGACCGCTCCTCTTCAAATAAGAAAACATCCAATGTTTCTGACTCTTTTGACACTTTTTGGCATTTCGATCGAACTTCTATGCGGTTTGCTCAAACCCAATTGAAATTGAATTTTCTTTGATTTGTGGCTGTTGTTGTGCGATTTGTTGTTGTGGTTGGAGAAGTTGTTGCTGCAATTTAGGGGCAACGAGAGGAGAGATGGGGTTGATTCGGGTTTGCGGTGGCTGCTGCTCTGAGTTGCGGTGGTGCGTGAGGAAGGAGTGTGCAGAGATGTTGCGGGTTGGACGGTGGTTTGTTGTGGCTCCCGATTTGGGTGGCTGAAAGTGGTTGATTGCGGTGGTAAATGAAGGTGGGTCAGGGCTGCTAGATGCGTGAGAGAAGTACAGGGGCTTCTCTGTGGTTTCAGTGGTGAGAGGAGGCAGCTGTGGTGGTGGCTGAAGATTGAGTTGCTGCTTTTGGTGGAGGTATGTGTGGGTTGCTTCGGTTCTTGCTGGAGCAGGGGAGATCTGATTGGTGTAGTGGGGGTTAAGAAGGTGGGGTGAAGAACAGGAAACGGAAGCAGCCTAGTAAATGAGTGCTTGAATTAAAGCCCAACTTTGGAGTTCCGAACACGGCCTCAAATTAGAACACGAACCTTGACCCACGCGCATACCTACACACATCAAGAAAATCGAGAAGAGAAGTAAAATAAAAGTAAAATGAAAATAAATAAAGTAAAAATAAAAACAAACAAAATAAAAATAAGAGAAATAAAACTAAAACTAATAAAATAAAGAAGTAAACTAAAACACTCCAAAATTACCAAAAAAAACTAGAAACTTAATCAAAACACTCAAAAGACAAAAAGACAAAAGACAAGAATAAGAAAATAATAGAAATAAAGGATAAAAAGAGTGAAATTATTAGAAAAATAACTAGAAAATGACCATATACGGACCCCTAAAAGTGAAATAAAAGTCACTTATCATACTCAAATAAGACCTTTACTAGGATGTTCATTAGAAAAATTAGAAGCAAACAAGAAGGCAAGCCTCTTGAATTTGCCAATACATCCGGCCATCAGATTACAAAACCATTGTTAGGAAATACCCTTCAATGAAGTCGGGAAGCATTTACACCAGCTGGCATAATTCAACCCTTGTAAATACATGAGGTTGGCTTAGGCCATGAGGTGGTCATCAGGGTTGGTGGTACCATCATAGGCGCCCACTAATATATTTTTAACCTTGGTCGGTTGTGCCGCCTTGGTTATTTCCTTGGTGAACACAGAGGGTTGTTCACTAAGTCTAAGCAGACGAAGCTGCCATTATAAAGGTTGGATGTTAAGTGTTGCCTGACCTCCGAAGAGGGCCGGCTGCATGTAAGGTTGCCCTTATGGCCCGTATGACATCTGGGGCACAATTGGGGCTGAGTTTATAATTTGAGGGCATGTATGGATGGACTTGTCACCTGAATGGCTCTCATGAAAAAAATGAGAATACTTCGCCGAGGTATTCTTGAAGCTGTCTAGGAAGATCGACGTGAAGCCAAGTAAGACATCGTCTTGTTTTTCTTTTGCTCGATGATATGTTGAGCATCAAAAAATGATTTTTTGCTACCGTCCGGCTGAATTTTCCGAATGACCTTCTTGTGGTCCATCTCGAGCATACGGACTTTAGACCAATCAATCAAGGTCCAGGCCTTCTTCCTATGACTATGGTGTGGAGTTGGTTGTCGGTTCCTGACGGACTTATTAATTCCCCTCAGCATGAGGAGACTTTTTGGCCGACTGACCCTTGCTAGAGCTAATTGTCCTTTTGATGATCAAGTCCTTGATCTTCGCTTTAAACTAGTCATGAATTTCATGAGTTCGTCTCTAGAGACGGGAGTCTTCCCTCTTGCCGCCTAGGTTTCCCTAGTCAGCTGTCCGGATGGTTTGCTCGGACCTGCTTGGCTTTTGCCTTGTTCCAAGTTATCCCTGCGACGGATGCGCCTTGTTCTGAGTGACCCGTCAGAGGCCACACATGTTTCACTTCTACGTCGTTATCAGTATCATGGTCTGAATGGACCTCCCCATCAACTGCCGATTGTGTGGGATCAGGAAGCAGTACAGAGTGTTGTGAAACCATCTTAGAGATACTCTCCCTAAAGACAGCGCCAAATGTTTTGGGGTTTTTCTAGTCCCTTGAGAGAGTTACATCACTAAGACTGGAATCAGGCCGACCGTACCTCCAAACAATTGATGCTTTGGTTGGTCGGATTTCCGCCTCTAACGATCAAGTTAGTTGAGGTTTGAAGTAAAGAATGCGGAAAAGTAAATATCTTCTCGGATTCCAAGATCAGTTGTTTCTCTGTTTTCGAGAGTAATAAATGATGTAATGATTGTAAGTTGACCCAATATTAAGGGAATCTACCTATTTATAAGGTCCTAGAAGTTTATGCCCTTATTCTAGGGTTTAGTGACCTAGGAACATGGGCTGCGCCGTTTTGCAGGGATCTTGAGAATTGGGCCTTGAAGGCCGCCAATCCCTTATGGGGTATCCGCCTGCCACGTGTCGCACCCTAGTTGGTCCATTTGGACACCTTCCTAGGGTGATATGTGTCACGCTCTGAGAGGTCCAAGTGGTAGGGTAAAAATACCCAAAACACAACAGACAAGCTAAGGGCAAACTATTATGCCAAAATTTTCACTACAGTTTCAGATGTCTGTAGGTTTTTAGATTGCATGTTACAAGTTGATACGATGTCAACGACTAGGTTACCAGAAGTCCAAGAAAGTTAAATGAATATATTTCCAAGGAATATTCTAAGAAAATCCAAATTTGAACAAGTTAAACTTGTTATAAGTTTTCCTACAATCAAGGAAGGGATATTTCCCAACATGAATAAGTTAATTGGAAATGTAAATTTATCCGCACCACAAACCATTCCACATTCGTCAAAGACCAAATCAAAGAGCCAAACTACTTCTCCGAGGACACTCCCACTACTCTCCCACTACTACCTAAGTATCTTAAAAATAGAGAAGTCTT